CTGTACAGTCTGTCCGGGGCAGACCGGGTCGAGAACCTGAGTCTCCTAACTCCTGACCTACTGTTTTCTACCACATCATACCACATTTTGAGAGCCACAGCATTTGGTTCTCAAAAAACTCAACATGTTGAGAGGAAGACTGGTCATGCACACAGCTTAGAAGGTGACAGGATCAAGAGAGAGGTACAGTGCGCTAACAGTTCGATGAGGGAAAGCTCATTCACAGCTGAAAAATGCATGGAACGTGGTAGGGGAAAACATCAGGAAGGACTGTGTACTGAACCTGAAGAATAGAAGGAAGCTAGACAGATAAAGACAAGCAGAAGGGTCATTCCTGGAAGGACAACAGCACGAGCAAAAGCAAAGCTGCTACAAAGTGCAAACAAGAGTAAAACTCTAACTAGATTGCTGAACTCTTATGGATGTGTGATGACGACTCGTGGGAAATAAGCCTAGTAATGTAGCTGGGAACTAGCTACAGAGGACCTAACCGAAAGACTTGAGAACTTGGGCTCAAGATCTTGGGCCCTTCGGCACCAAAGAGCAGACAATTTTTGACAGAGGAAATGACACGATCAGAGCTGTGTTCTAGGAAGACCCATCCCTCAGTGAATATGTGATGGCTCATGAGACGTTAACCACGCAGTCCAGGTGACTCGGCTAGAAACTGTCACAACAGCCTAAAGTGGAGGGAGGGTAGGCCCAGAGCAAGGGCAGAAGCAATAAGACGAGAAAGAAGAAAATATTCCATCAGTAGAAGCAACAGAGTTTAGTAACGGACTGGATGTGTAGAGGGTCAGGTCTCCAGCCAGCCTCAGTGGCAAGATGGAAGCCAACAGGAAACAGGTTTTTTGTTTGTTGGGTTTTTTTTTTTATTTTTTATTTCTTTTCAGCGTAACAGTATTCATTGTTTTTTGCACCACACCCAATGCTCCATGCAATCCGTGCCCTCTTTAATACCCACCACCTGGTTCCCCCAACCTCCCACCCCCCGCCCCTTCAAAACCCTCAGATTGTTTTTCAGAGTCCATAGGAAACAGGTTTAACAATGCAGAGGACTGGCAGGGTTGACAAAGGAATAGTATAGCTTGGAATATCTTGTTTACAAGCAACAAAACACCAAGCTCCCACCTTTCAAGTGTGGACTTGCCCCAACTCTATTGATCTCAAACTGTTGTGGGGGTAAAAAAGAGTTGACCCATAGGAACACTCGAATAATTTTTCAATTTTCAATAAAATAAAATTTTAATACTTGTGTGTGTTGACTGCCTCTGTTTGAAAACAACAAATTGTTCCCCACCCTCAACTAAAAACATGCAGGGGGAAAAAAAAAAAGAGGGAGAAATTAGGATTTCAGAGCTTAATAGAGAACTTAGAAAACAGAGGCTGACCCATCATTTTCTTGAAGAAGAAATCAAAACCCAGAAAGAAAATACCTTGTTCAGAATGACATAGATAGCTAGTAGTTCGTTTAGGATGAAAACCCGAGTCTCCAAATGGCTAGCCCATTGCCTTTCTTTGGGAAGACTGGATAACATTCCACTTCAATTCCATTCCTCGCACTGTCCTTCCTTCACTGTGTTCCTGAACACAGTGTGTGACCCCCCTACCATTGACTTTTCCTCTTTACTCTCTCATGCCTCTTAACCATTCCCTTAAAAAGAAATCCATGAAGTAAATAATTTTGCCATAAAATAGTAATCGTTCTCATTCAAGACAGTTGAGGGAAATAAAAACACAGTAGTTAGGTGATCTAGCTCACAGAAGAGAATGGTTTATGCAACCTGCCATCTCCGAGACAAGTCTGAAAATGATTGCCGGGTAACAGGATACAGACCTCCAGACTCCTGGGGGAAAGACCTCAGGTTAGTTTGCTTTACTAGAAGACACTGTGTTGTATGAAAGCCCATCTACACAGCCAAAGGGAATGTTACATAATCCTGTTCCTTGATGTATCCAGGGACTGAAGACTTATTAAATGGGCAAAAGCTGTTATCTTGATGTCAAACAGGGCAGAAATGAATATGCGTGACTCATTTATTTTGGATGTCAGCACATCATGAATTCACCAACCTGACATGAGAACAGAAAGATCAAACCGGTTACCTATTGATTATAATACCTTAGAGAGACAATGCAGGTCCTCCAATTCCCAACAATCCACTTTCTCCTTAATAAGCAATTTATTCTGGAAAACTGACTCTACTCCCCAATCCCCTCCATGCCTGTGCAGACCCAGCCACTGACCAATGTAGGCTGACAACTAGTGATCAGATGCTGGGTTTGTGCCAGTGACTTTATGCGTGTTCCTTCCTCTAGTTCTTGTCACTCACTCCATGAGGCTGGGACGTTTTCAGGCCAGGAAACACTGAGGAAGGGAATTAAGAAACTTGCTCAGGGGGGCCCCTGGGTGGCTCAGTGGGTTAAGCCTCTGCCTTCAGCTCAGGTCATGATCTCAGGGTTCTGGGATCAAGCCCCGCATCGGGCTCTCTGCTCTGCGGGGAGCCTGCCTTCTCCTCTCTCTCTCTGCCTGCCTCTCTGCCTGCCTCTCTGCCTACTTGTGATCTCTGTCTGTCAAATAAATAAATAAAATCTTTAAAAAAAAAAAAAAAAAGAAACTTGCTCAGGGTCATATAGTTCTCCAGTGGAAAGGTCAGAAATCAAACCAGGTTGTTACCAAATCCCACGAATTTAATCATGGTGTCCCACCCCCAACAAACCACCACTGCCCCCACCCCAGTCCAGATGAAGACAAAAATATTTATACGAGTAGAATGTCCTCAGACATGGGAACGCTGTGAGAGGAGATAGAAGAAATGAGAGGGATTTCAGGCAGCCATGTTTTGCTGACATTGCCACGGTGAGTTGTGGCTTTTTAATCTCAGCTTGGGTGACAATACTGGCCCTCATGGCCTCTACAACTGATCTGGGGAAGGCAGCAGAATGTTCATTCACTAGTGTTCTAGTTTGCCCTACAAACTAGATTCTAAAGTTGCAATATTTGTTGTCATATCTCTGCCTTCATGAGAAACTAATATTAAAATGGTGGCTGGGTGTCTTGGGAAAAAGTCCATCAGTTTTTCAAAGAACTTAGACTTGCACTCCTCCTCTCCTGAACCACAGTTAATCCCAAGGTTCCAGTCACTCCAAAAGGCATGTATATGTTGCTGCACTATCTTGTTTCAGAGCTTGAAAAATCTTGATTATTAAAGATTCCTGTAAGGACCCTCCATGGCCTCTGTATTTTACTACCTAAGGAGTTTGAGGGCATTCAAGAGTTTTTTTTTTTAAAAGGGGCCAAAGCAAACTAAAGCTCTTCCTCTACTTGGGTCAAATGTGGCAACCACAAGGAAAATCGGAAGTTGGGAATGACTTACAGCAGCTAAGGGAGCCCAACAAGAGTATAGGACATGTCTATAGACTAAAGTGTTGTTGCATATCAAATTCCTCCAGAGGCAAAAAACATCTCAGGAGTCTTATGCAAATGTACTGTGAAAGACCAAAATGCTCTTTCTATGTGAACCAAAGTTTATATCACTCACCTTCACTTGCCTGGCACATAGTAAGCACTCAATAAATACTTAGTACATGAATATTTTTCCTCTATTTCTTTCTTTGTCAGAACACTAGCGTAGTATCCAATACAAGTATTGTGGCAGAAGTTCATTTTGCTCCAAGCAGCCCCAAAATAAAAGTACACAGACTTTCAAGCAAAATAAATAAGCAAAAACTCTTGTTTTCAGAAAAGGATACACTTCAGGATCCTATTAATTAGACAAACTGTCAAAAGATGAAATACTGTCTAATTTGGAAAAAATGAGATTTATACGCAACTTTCCAGGAACTGCATAAAGTGAGATCACTTATAAATCCATCTACTCACGCTTCTCAATAAAAGAACGATGTCTAGAATGCCCACAACAATTCCAGACGTGGTGTCTCTCTCCTTCTCTCCATATCCCACCTCCACATAATTCCCCCATTAGTCTGGCCAACTCTTTTTTTTTATTAAAGACTTTATTTATTTCTTGAGAGAGAGAGAGAGCACACAAGCACACAAGCAGGACGAGGGGGAAGGGAAAGGGCAGAGGGAGAAGCAGACTCCACTGAGCAGAGGGCCCGATGTGGAGCTCAATTCCAAGACCCCAAGATCACGACCTGAACCGAAGGCAGACACTTAACCGACTAAGCCCCCCAAGCACCCCAATCTTGGCCAATTCTTATGTGTATCTCATCATCAGAGAAAGCAACAGCTCTTCCAGGAAAACTTCCCTTGTTCCCCAAATGCAAGAACAGCTGGTCCATGTCTCTGTCACTAAATTATTCCAGTTTTATCATTATGTATTTACATGTCTTTCACTCACCTAAAACTCTCCTTTGCTTCTGGAGAAGTAAGTCCTAATCTGCTCAATTTCTCTACTAAAGTTGGACTACTGTAGGTTCTCAAGTTCTCAAACATTTATGGAATGAGTGAACATATTGCTGACATAAAAACACAGATGTTAGGGTGTGGCTGGTGATCACACAGAGGTAAATTTAGTCTGATAGTGTAAATGGAAGCAGTGGGTCTTCAATGGAGTTTGAGAGGCTAGATGACTTTGATGTAGCTGCTGCAGGGATACCCAGAAAACTGCAGAGAAGACGGAAGGAATGAATCAAACCTTGGTACTTGCAAAGGAATAGCAAATGATGAGGAACATTTGCCAGGATGCAGGACAGACCATGAATGCAGGTGCGAGTACAGAGAGACATGAAAATGACTCAGGAGAATCGGTCCTCCTGGTCAAAGATTTTGTCTTTGATCTAAATCTAGACTAGAGCAGCTGCTACCAGGCATCACGGCCTTGTCATCGCCAACATGACGTCTGCACAGCAGGCCTGGGCCCTCTCATTCCAGTTCCTCAGTGTCCTGTCGAAGGACCAAGGATTTCTTACTGAAGGCATGAATAAGCTCCTTTAAAAGCAGATACAGCAGGTTTTTCTCAAAGGCGGCCTCTTACCTGCTGGTTCTGGTAGGCTGTGACTGTGGTAAACACCGTCTCAGGGAAGTTGAATGTTTTCACTCCATCCCCAACAGGGACAGGTTTGGTGGGTGAAAGGTCGCTGCTGAAATCCTTGCGGATCACGTGAACTCGAGGCTGGTATTTGTGCATTGAGTGCAGAATGATCTGAAATGAGAAGGGCCACATGATGCCAGAGTAGCCCAAAGGTCCCCACACCTTTACAAGCCCTCATGCAAATACAAACGCAGGAGAGAAGCATTATAGGAAGAACACAGTTAGGGGGTGGGTGGCGGGGGGAGATGTATAAGAAACTGGAAGCCAGTCCTTACCTTGACTGGACAATACTAAACAACTGTCCCAATACCAGAAGACAACACTCCACTAAAAGGTCTCAGAAACTCTGCTATGGGACAGTGGCTCCTTCCTGTTTCAAAGTTTCATCACAGGCTCATGCTGTCTTTAAATTCTATAAGCTGTTATTTGCACTTTGTTACCTAATTTGTGACCACTCACTGTGAGAGTGAACGGTGTATGTGCATTCTCCCTTCCTTGGAAGAATGTCATTTCCTTAAAGATAAGAGCCACGGCTTTAGTGTTTCAATCTTCCTGTAGCCCCCAGTCTGGACCCTGGCATTCAGCAAAAGTTCTATGTATGCCTTGCCACTAAAGATAAATTAATAAAATCAAGTGTTCTAATTATACCTGGACCTGTTCTTCTTTTAAAAATGCATAAATTTCTTTTAAAAATGCATAAAGTTCTTGACAAATCAGCCTAAACTGTCACTTAGTTGTTTCTCTGAGTTTATCGCCTTGTGAGTTATTGAGTGACTGTTGTCATTTCTTTCCCATTTTTTTAAAGATTTTATTCATTTATTTGACAGAGAGAGAGAGATCACAAGTAGGCAGAGAGGCAGGCAGAGAGAGAGAGGGGGAAGCAGACTCCCCGCTCAGCAAAGAGCCCGACACGGGGCTCGACCCCAGGACCCTGAGATCATGACCTGAACTGAAGCAGAGGCCTAACCCACTGAGCCACCCAGGCGCCCCTCTTTCCCATTTTTAAGCTTGTCCTGTGTTTCTCTCTTCAAACTCTCCCCCAACTAGACTGTGGGTTCCTGGAACATGAGAACTCTTGTCTGATAAACACAACCTAATGTCCAGCAGACGTTTGCTCAATGTGAGATTTGTAATAAATGAAATTTCACCAGAGGGGGGAAAAAAACTTATATGCCTACTTACTTAAAATGACTCCAAGTGGCACAGAGCTTCTTATTTTACCTGTTTGGAAAAGCCTAGGGCTAGTCAGTTCTAGAGCCAAAATGGGGGAAGAGGGAGATGGATGGGATTCTTTGACTCACATGTCCTTGATCATCCAACTCGTTGTTGGTCAGCTTGAGTTTGTCAAAACTGACCACCTGTCTCATCCAGGTGTCTCCAGAAGCTAGAGAATCAGGGTGTATATAAACTCTTGGAGGTACAGGGGAGTCTGCATTGCCAGCCACCATCCATTTGGAGCTGTGGTACACGTATCTGAGGCAGAGAGGGAGAGAGGAGAGATCAGAGACGGATACAGAGAGGGAATAGAGGCCCAGAAAGCCAGTAGAGATAGGAGTCGGGAGAGACAGAGAGATGACAAGATGGAAAACAGTAGGGATTAAACAGAGAATAAAAGAGAGAAAAGCAGTAGGGTAGAGGACCAGAGACAATCAGATGGAGATGAAAAAAAAAAAAAAAAAAAAAGAAAAAAGGGGGGGGGGGGGGGGCAGCAAAGAGTGGTGGTTAATAAAAAAAAAAAAAAAAAAACAGAGAAAGAGGTGGGGTGGGGGAGGGCAGCAAAGGGTTGTGGTTAATGATCAAAGCTGCAGCACTCACAAGGAAAACATTCTCACAGTCCTTTTTCTTTCTTCTCCTCTCCTTGCCTTGCACCCCTGTGTGCACACAGGCATCCTGAGCCCACGTGTCTAGCTATGGAAAAGGTATTTTACTGCAACCTTTCACCTCTCAAATGCAAACCATATAATCCATGGGCCACTTGTTCAGGATTTGGTTCCTTATTAAAAACATCTTCCATATTGTCCTATAAAACACAGCCATGTGCAGAGACCCTCCAAGCCTCTCACTTATTAACCATTTCCTTACTGAGAATCTGAATTTTGAGGCATTTCTATGAAAACGGAGTGTCTCTGCCTCAGTGCAACCATTCCCAGAAACACTGCAGAGTCTTCCCAGTTAGTGTTTTAGTGTTTCTTTGAACCCAGTTTTGAATATCATCATCATCATGACTTTCCCACAAAGCCCCTGGAAATAAGATGTTGTTAGTAGCAAAGGAGGTCAGTTTTCCAGAGTTTGCCCATTGCCCTGTAGTTCTGAAGAGAGCGTTCTATGGATCTGGTATTTTCCTGCTTCTCACTTATAAAGGACCACACAGGACCTGGATGGTAGTGAACAGAGGCACACAGTCCAAATCACAAGATCCTCTAAAACAGACCTGAAACATCTCCTGTCTTAAGTCATGCATCCAGATCACTTCTCTCTTGGCCAGCTCTCTCCCTCTACCCTATTAGTCCTCATCTTTCCTATTCATTCATCTCTCCCCACCCACCTCATAAGTTCAGGGCCAAGTTTTCAAACATTTCAAAAATGAGCCATGATTCACTGCTCTGATTGACATCTCAAGAGACAGATTAAGCCACAGTTTGTTCAGAGAAGAACTATGTGTAAGCCATCCAAGGGACATAGACATTGTGTTGGACTGTAATGACTTTGAAGGAAGGTTATTTAACAAACTTGCTCACAACCCATATTGATAAACAATAATTCTCCTTTCCTGAATGTTCTTCTTGAAATCTTACCCAATTCTCCTCTTCTTCCCCTCCATCATCCACAGCATGATTCATTAGATATCTGATTAAATATACTGCACTGGTCCACTTCTCCTTTGCCTCTCCAAAATAAATCATCTCAACTTGTTCAGCAATTTCATAAACCAAATCATTCAATATGTTAATCACTTTTAATGTTAAGTGAATTAATTTTAGACGTAATATCCATTTGATTTTTGCAACCCTGGCAGGTACTATACAGTCCCACTCTGTCCAGAGACATAGGGAGGATTCCAGACAAAACCATTACTAAGTCCTGATTTCCAATCATGAGTGACTACTTCCTACATGGTGCTTTGCTACAGGCTATTGGCATATCCCCCCTCCTTGTTCCCTGTATAGTGCATCATACAGGGCACTGTAAAAATGGTTCATCTAATGAGTTTAAAGAACTGTCTTGGAATGCTGGTGATGTCTGCAATTCCAAACCCCATAGTGATCATTACCTGTATCTTTTATTGTCCACAGGCACAATGTCCATTGCTATGTAATACTGCTGGTGTGGGTCCAGGCCAGTGATTTTCACTCTCATGGCAGGAAACATCCTCCTGTGAAGGGGAATAGGCAGTAAACTCAACAGGCAGAGGGAGAGAAGTCGCAGGAATAAAAGCTTAGAGAGTTTCTTCTTATCAAGAACGCTAAGTACACCAAAGTCCAATACCTATAATTCCCAAGTCGGCTGCTTTTTTTTACTTTGGAAATTATTACTATAAAATATGCTAAGTATTCATTGCTGAAATAGCACCATTTCATAACTTAAATTGACCTATTTTATGGTTCATACACTCAAAGAGCTCATATCATACCCTGATTTATATTATTAGTTAATCTTTAATGTGATTAGGTATCCACACACACATTTCCTATCAGACTATACCATTCTTGAAAATACTTACACTCTTACACTTCACATACTTGAATAACTTATGCTTTCATAAGCATAAGTCAAGTAGCTTATCACAGTCAAGTAGCTTATCAAAGTCAAGTAGCTACTTGACTTTCATAAGTCAAGTAGTTTATCACAGTTGATTACAGGTGATGATGAAATGTTTTCTGATTGATTGAGTCTATGTAAAAGTAATCTCTCTAGGAAAGAAGAAAAAAGGAAGAGGCTACCATTCCCCAAGCAAAGGGCCAACAAAGTTGAGGGTTTTTTACTACGTAAAACTGTAGAAAAATTTCTGCAAGTTCTCAGGCTGTCAACATGTGTCAGAAGGAGAACTCTGTGGAATAGGGAGCAAATACCAAATGAATTCTAGTGGCCTCTGGGCAGTACCTTGTTTCTACCACAATGGCTTGTTAAACTTGCCAAAGCAAGCGAGGTCAGGATATGGCACTTTACAACTACTCTCATAATTGAAGAGGAGGAGAGGGAGCAACCCAGACAAGTATTGAGTTTCAAGGGTCTAGAATAAAATTCTCCACTCTTCTTTAACCATAAGAAGGAAGAAAAACATCAAACTCTTTTGTATGTCATTCATTTAGGAGTCAGACATAAAAAGTGCTCAGTTCAAAAAAATGTGGATTGCCTGAATGTGCTCTAGGGTACTTGTACACAAAATGCTGCATTAAGCTTAACCATCTGGGGCCAGTTAGTTGAGCTGGGCAGAGCACGGTGCTAATGAGGTCAAGGTCACAGGCTTGATCCACATACAGCCTAATTGGCTTTGCTCCATTTCACGGCCATAGACCATACCCTGACCCCAGGCAGCCATCTTGCATATGTGCCCTAGTTGTTTACATGAGGGGCTTTCTGTGGTAGCCACACACTGCACTGCTCACCAGAAGCAATCGAAATGCAAGTGTCCTATGGTAGTAGGTCAGTGGCATCATAATCCTATTTGGGGGAAGGCACAAGAGGGACTACAGATCTTTATAGGAATGATGGCTAGTTCTTAAGTATTTACAAAGAATAATATACAACATTCCTTTCTTCCTACTTTATAACTTTTCAGAAGCTTCTGTTAGTATATCATTCTGGATTTTCTACCTCTAGCTTCACAAGTTTAATTAGAAAGCCTTATATTTTAGTCTTATGGTGAGCTAATGAAATCCCATGATGGACTTCTCATAATCACTAAATCTAGCATTCACTATAGAGTAAGCAATTTGATCTATGTTAATCCTCTCCAAAAATTTGGGAATCTTGATGTATATACATTTACATTTAAACATTTAAACCTTCTTAATAACAATGATTTATGATTGCCTTATACTTATAAATGGTTGGAGAGGACCTTTCCAGGGATAGAAAGAAAGTCCTCTCACTTGCTACCTGAGGTAAGAAAATGTGGTTCCTCTCAGACATCTACAGAGGCTGTGTTACATTGCAAGAGATGAATGTCTTTTCTTCATGACTCCAAGAAAAAGGGTTAAGTGTTTCTAAATTCAATACCTGTTTTGTTTGGAACACCCACATAACCTTGAGTGGAAGAGCTACCAGTTTCTTACCAATACCCAAGTTCTAAATGAATGAGAGGTGCGACTTTGGAAAAGTTATTTAACCTTATCACCTAAGAAACAAAGAAAAGGGACTATATAATCTCTAAAGTGCCCTCTTGCTTTGAAATTCTATGACTACATTTGAATTCTCTTCCTAAAAATTTACCAAAAGTTGCTTTTTCTTTTTGCCAGTATTTTAGCACAGAATATCAAGTGAAGTCATAACACCCTAGGGAAAAATTAATCGTTCATATTCACAAAATGAGATCTGTTTGGTTTTAATTTTATGGTTAAATTTAGGCCAATTCTTATGTCTTCCAAACCCATTAATCCCTACAAGCACCTCTGTCCATGGTGCTGATTCTACAGATTATGTTGGTACATTCGAAGATTGAGGGCTCTGTAGCCTGCAGTAGTTCTGAATCAGAAGGATAACAGTTTAGGGAGTGAGAAGTAGATGGTGATGAAAATCTCAGCAGGAAAAAGGAACAGAGAGTCATGCAAAACTATGTAACTAAGAAAATAAAAATTGAGATTAAAATTGGAAAGGACGGGGCGCCTGGGTGGCTCAGTGGGTTAAGCCGCTGCCTTCGGCTCAGGTCGTGATCTCAGAGTCCTGGGATCGAGCCCCGCATCGGGCTCTCTGCTCGGCAGGGAGCCTGCTTCCTCCTCTCTCCTGCCTGCCTCTCTCCCTACTTGTGATCTCTCTGTCAAATAAATAAATAAAATCTTTAAAAAAAAAATAAATAAAATAAAATAAAATAAAATAAAATTAAAATAAAATAAAATAAAATTGGAAAGGACATTATGAAGGAAGAGAAAGGAAGTGAAAAGGAAGAAACAGACTTGAGGAACTGGGAGGAGGTGAAGAAAAGTCAGAGAAGGGACACCTGGGTGGCTCAGTTGGTTAAGTGGCTGCCTTCACTCAGGTCATGATCCCAGCATCCTGGGATTGAGTCCCACATCCGGCTCCTTGCTTGGCAGGGAGCCTGCTTCTCCCTCTGTCTCTGTCTGCCACTCTGTCTGCCTGTGCTTGCTCTCGCTCCTCTCTCTCTGACAAATAAATAAATAAATAAAATCTTTAAAAAGAAGAAAAGAAAAGAAAGAAAGAAAAGTCAGAGAAGAGAAGTCTTTCTTTGTATGTTCTTGAGTTGTTCCAGAATTTCTTGAGCAGAGTTACATGGAACAATGGCAAAGGCTGAGGCAATCCAATAAAGGAGAAATGAATAACATACCTAAACCTCAACAACAGGATATGACTAAAGAACAAAATTTAGGGGTGCCTGGGTGATTCAGTGGGTTAAGCCTCTGCCTTCAGCTCAGGTCATGATCTCAGGGTCCTGAGATCGAGCCCTGCATCGGGTTCTCTGCTCAGCAGGGAGCCTGCTTTCCCCTATCTCTGCCTGCCTCTCTGCTTACTTGTGACCTCTCTTTCTGTCAAATAAATAAAATCTTTAAAAAAAAAAACTTTATATGTTTGTTCTGGGAATATCTGGGTATATCCAGGTAGGTATCAACTGAATTTGTGAAGTAAGAGATGTGGAAATGAAAACACTGAAGTATTCATGAAACAAGGTCACAGGAGAACTGTGAAAAATGTATTTGGGGGAACTGAATTCATAGAAGTGCAAGGAACAAGGGAACGATATCAGAAATGATATTGACTGGAATACACAAAACCCCCTATAGTGAGTGAGAACCCAAAATTTAAAAACTAGAAAATCTCATAGGCAAAAAAAGTAATATTTTCCCCTCTCTCCAAATGAACCCCCTTGTCAAAAACTAAAAAGAATAAAAACTTTGTCCTAGAATTGCTGTTTCCGTCTAAATCATAAGATCTCAAAAGGTAGACCAGAAGTAGACTGAAACCCAAGCAACAAGAAAGAGATGGTATTGGAAATAATTCCCCTTCAGAGTTGCTCCTCCTAAGAAGCCTTTTGCTGATTTTATTCACCACCAAAACTTAGAGAAGGAAGAAGGTTCCAAAGGAGAAATAAAATGAACAAGATTTCAGGTTCATTTTGACCTCATGTTTTTGTGATGTCTTATTATATTGGGAGCTTTCTCTACATGGATTCAAGTGCTCTTTTACTTTAAATGTCCATGTTCATGAAGATAGCTTATGACCAATCGGGTGGGTCTTTTTGGTCCCCATGACATAAGACTACGTAGATTGGCTTTGAAAATATGAAAACAGCATAGCTGTTTTAACTTTAATTAACTATTCCTATATACTCAAAAGCTTAGTCCAAATTTATTTTTATTTAAACCATTTTCAGTTTTAATCCAAGGGGTAAAAACTACAACCATTTCTTAACAGTGTGGAATTTTAAACAGTTAAGACCATTGTTTTAGACCTAGACAGATTTGTGTGGAATTCTGAAGCTGCCCTTTATTATCCGTGACTTTAGCTAATTAGTTAATTTAGTTAATTAACCTCTTTCAGCCTTTGCAACCTCATCCATGCATGGGATTATTATATCCTATCTTAGAGCATTCCTGTGATATCTAAATGACATAATATATTTTGAGCATCCAGCACAAAACAGATGCCTAACCACGGAAAACTGAAAGATGCCAGTGAAGGAATGGCTTAATTAAAAGTGTTTATTTCAAGAGAAACTGTATTTTAAAAACTTTTATCATCCTACATAGTGATGCAACAGTTTCCACTGGGTTGCCATTAAAGTTTCATAATAATTTCAAGCCAACAATAAAACACATGGATCAGTTAAGAAGGGCTCAGACATGTACCAAGCCCTATTCTTACCAAAACAAACAAACAAACAAACAAACCTCTTATAAAAACATCTGGCTGCTTTTAAAGATTTTATTTATTTATTTGACAGACAGAGACCACAACTAGGCAGAGAAGCAGGCAGAGAGAGAGGAGGAAGCAGGCTCCCCACCGAGCAGAGAGCCTGATGCGGGACTCGATCCCAGAACCCTGGGATCATGACCTGAGCCGAAGGCAGAGGCTTTAACCCACTGAACTACCCAGGCGCCCCATCTGGCTGCTTTTAATGCTTTAGGAGATGCAAGCTGTTGTTTGGGGAGCAAGCTTTTTCTCTCAAAAAACACTGGATGGTGAAGTAACACTTGCTTTGGAAATCTACCATGTGGTCCTTATGTACCATCAATCTCCCATATGGGCTGATATGCATTTGTAGGCAGAAAATGTCTGTGAGTGTAGAGGTGATTGAGACATTGGAATGGCCCTTGGAGGAAAACAGCAAAATCATAGTAAACTCAAGATCAGTTTACCAAGATGTCCATATGCAGAAAAGTGAGCACAAGTAGCTCTGGCATCACGAATACTACCTACCACAAGTAAGTGAAAATAAAAACATGTAACAGCTCCTACTTTTGGTCTCCATTCTTGGAATCTAGCCATCCAAAGGAACTTGTCCTTACCTGCCTGCTTTGGTGATGATCATCTCAGTTCCAATGTCATGGAACCTCTTCCAGAGGTCAGCGCATTGGAGCTCCACCTGAATCTCTTCCATGGAAGACATGGCAGCAGGCACAGGGCCTGCAGCACCAGAGCCCAAGTCAGGGTGAGTGTCAAAGGAGCAGGAAGTCCGCTCAGTGAGCACCTCAGAGTCTGAACCAGTGCTTTGCTCGGAATCTGCAAGATAAACAATCGAGTCTTAGGTGAGAAACTGCTGAGCCTCCCCCACCCCCACCACCCTGCTTTGGTGACTTAAAGCTGGGAAGCTCCAGGGCACAGCATTCAGGGTATTTTATTATTTCTTTTATGGTTTGTTTTTGAGATTTACGACCATCTTTTAGGTTTTGCGTTCCCAACATGACATCTGGCATTTTAGCAACAGCTGAACAAAACTGGTCCACAACAGGCAACATAAAGAGTACTAATGTCACCATGGTGAAGTGAAGAAGCCAAACAGGGACAATAAGATAAATGCCAAATTAAAAAATAATAATAATAATTACAGATCACAGCTCCAAATCTAGACAATTTCACTGGGGGCTGGGGTGGGGGGTGGGGCTCAATGCTAATAATGTATTCTTTAATGTTCTACTACTAAGCGTCATTGCCCATCCACCAGTAAATTTTAAACAGAGCAATTTTTTTTCTCTATTTATATATCCTGGTCATCAAAAGTAATGAAAAGTTGTTTGGGATCTTTAGAAGCACTCTGTCATGTATTTGAGTAAATGGCTTTTCCTAAGAGTCCAATCAGGCCATTTTGGATGGAAAAAGGAAAAAAAAAAAGGTCTGTTGTAAGGCATATGGAAAAAGTTACCCAAGAAGGCGGTTGAAACAAAGGGAATAAATGAGTTCAGGAGACACCTTGATTGGTTTCTGAAGTATGAGCAGAGGGGAGGGGTGATCCAAACAGGAAGGTAGGATTGAAAGCAACCAAATAAAAAGTTGGCATGCTGTGCCAGATGGTCCTTTCTTCCTGTGTCTCCTATATTCACGAAGGGGTTTGGGGCGGGGGGAATACATAGCATGATAGAGAAGGCTGGAGTCAAATTTACCAGGGAATTTACTGTAATTTTTAAAGCGTTTTTACTCTTAGAGGCCCCGTGCCAAGAATCTTATCTCCTAAAATTTTCCAAACTCAGATTAGCTGATACAGTCTTCTTAGGTCAAACGATACTGCAAACTAAGCCTGAGAACCTATTTCCCCAACCCTCCCTTAACATCTAGGATTCTGACTGCTTCCCCTGTCAATAAACACATGCACAAATAAAGGTTGGAAACAGCAGTGTCTTTTGCTGACCGCTGACTGTTCGGTGCTGTCAAAGGTCAGAGCCTCTTGGGCGTTAGTCCTTGGTAAGAGGAGGATGAAGAAGGATGGGACAGAAAGTCAGACCATTTTGCTGCCATCCTCACTTACCTGCAGCAGGTTTCTAGACCTGTGAAAACCCATCCCACAAGACCTTCCCATTTCCTTCCTTCAAGCCTTGATGTCTTCCTCTCTCAAACCCAGGCGGCATCACTGGCAAGTCTTCCACAAAGCTGCCAGTGCTCACAGGGAGCAAAGTGACATTTCTTTCCACCCTCCCCAGGTCCCCACCCCTCACTTCTGAAGACATTCAGGGTACTGCAGAACTGAACCAAGCTCCGAAATGACAGAGAAGTCTCTGCCCCAATCTATATCCACAATCACTAGTCCAGTCACCATCTTCACACACACAAATATATATACATATGTGTGTGTGTATATGTGTGTGTGTTTTACATGACCAAGCATATAATCTTATACTTGGTGCTAAACAGGGGCTAACTTTGGTCTCCTTCAAGCGCAGAAAAGTGGAGCTGCTCATCTAACATGGAAGTTGCTGCTGCTGAGGGATACATCTCCATCCTCGCCTGATCCTCTATGCCTTTCCGCTGTAAAGCCATAGTATCAGCATCACACACTTGGCCAAACACGGGAATTCTGATCCCCTGAGACATGGATTCCCAAATCCCATTGTTTCTAGGACATGCCAAGAGCTCCTCACTTGCCATAAGTATTGTGAGCTTTTCAAAAACTTCTCAAAGCAAGAGTTTTAAAAAATAGTCTTGTCCTACCTTTGGGAGCAAAGTGGTATGAAATCCGCTTACCATAATGTGCTACGATTATGAAAAAGCTAGAAATTTTGGACATGTGATTTCTCCAATGAGTGTTTAGGAAGATGGAGGGAAGGGAAAGGTATCACTATGCTACCTGATAACTTTTCAATGGGGGCCAAACGGGTTGGGATTTGAATGGGGACTATGGCTGGAGAACGAGGAAACCAGAGACTCTACTCTTAACACACCATGTCATCTGAAATAAAATGGGAGCTCAAAGTTTAGCACTAAATGGACTCTTAGTTCATGTAATAATGAATCACCTGGACAAACCTATTTCCTTATCATGCATTTAGAAGGATTGAGCTGAAAACTTATAATCTCTTCCACCTCTAAGGACTTGGAGAGTGTTAATGCATACTTTCCAATGCAACTTTCAGGGATAACCCAGGCAACCTCAATTAGAAGCATCAGATTAAAACTACTTGGGCAAGACAAGTTAAATGAGGAGAATGTTTGAGGGCTCAGATTCACGTTATCATAGAAGTTAAAGAAACCAGTGGCAATTCTGTTTATAGTTTCAATCAAATCAATCAATAAGCACCTATCAGCATGTGGCCCTATATGAGGTACCAGGTAGATAATTTGAAACAGAATCCCAGACCTCGAGAGGTTTCCCAGTTAGTGTTGATTAATTATGTGTTTGTTGGGTGCCTACTATGTGCCCAGCACTGTGCTAGATCCTGAGATATACCAAAGTGCAGAATGAGGCTCTGCCTCAAAGTATTTACAGGACCAATGGAAACTGAGCGCATTCACAAATAGAAACCAAGACAAGTACTACCACATAATTTTCCACACCACTGCATATTGCCTTGGATGTCTCATAGGAATCCAGCAAAGACAGGGATCTCAGAAAACTGGAACAGTCCTGGGGAACTCAGGCTAACTAGAAAAGAACTGGACGAGACGTGGAGGCATAGGCAGGATTTGCCCATGAAGAGGATTTTCAGACACAGCTATTTGTTTCCCTGGAAGTGCTCTGTGCTCCTAGATTCTCACTCCCTCACAAAATAGAGCCCAAGTGATTTTATATACAGAATACAGGCATCAGCTCACATTTTCAATAACATAAAGTAAGCTACCCTATAATACCCTTAAAATAGAGTTAAGACCAACCCCTTAGGTAAAAATAAAACAGAATCCTTTGTAAGATGTGTTTCTAAATCATAGTCATATCAAATATTTAGGCTAACCAGATCATTTATTCCAGCTAGTAATCAGAATGCATAATCAAGTTAACTCAGTCATGAATATAAGAAATGCAGATTATTTCAATCAAATAGGATCCATTTAGAAATACAACCAGTGCCTTGAATATCAGAATACACCTCTGTGTTTTCAAGCTTTTTTGTTCTTCACAATTTGTAACTTCCTGCCTTAAAAAAAAAAAAAAATAATAACTGTTAGGAGCTCAGTTGAATGACCTGGAAAGACTTCTTGGCTGTCAGATGTCTCTTGTGGATAGCATTTGAACAGGGAAGTTTTGGCAAATCAGGAACATAAATGATAAAGTTATATATAACTAAGGAAGTTAAAGAAGACTTGAGAACTTGCATGGATCCAAGTTACAAGTCACTGGAGAACATCGTATGACACATACAGTCAAACCGACATGTCTATTACCATCCCAAAAAATCCCTAAACAAGAGACTATAACCATCAGCTCATATGGTCACTTGTTTTCTATCTCTGACATATTTCATGTTGATAAAATGGACACAGTAACACTAAGTTCCCACAGAAAGTTGGGTTTAGCTTACAGCAAGTTTTCAAGTCTCAATTCATGCAAAATAATAGCAATAAGAAAACAGTTCCTTCATCTACATTTTACACATTATTTAATATATCCTTCCATTTGATGGGGTAGAAATGGCATAGTTTTATATCCATTATATAAATGAGGTAATTGAGACTAAGAAAATAAAAAACAACGTGACCTAGAAGGTAAGTTTTCTGCCTCCTGATCTAATGATCAGATCTCTCCCAAGATCATATTGGGCTCAACCCCAGCCAAAAGAGCCAGCAATTCTGTAATAACCCTCAACTATTATAACCATCCTTGCAAATGAAATGGCTTAATATGTTTGATCCTGGCCAAGTCACATAACTATTCTGGCCCTCATTATCCTTAATCATTTTAACACAGCACATACACATTTAATTAGAGGTGCTATCAAGTCCCTCTTAAGTCTAATGTTTACTAGATGGATTAGTAGTGCAGCTTAAAGACCACCAAGCCTAACAACAGCAACTCAACCATGATGAGTTGGTTGGCATGCCCAGAAAATGCCTAATTTATGTGTATTTTGACTTAATGTCAAAACCAGACACTGTTAAAACAGATTTCACAGTCTTCCAGGCAATTTTTGTCTCCACTTAACTAATAATTTTGAGGAATGATTCATTACTTCAGTGAATAGAACACATTTATGCCTGGGACTCTGCTGTTCACCATAAGTGGGGTGTTAGACAGTCATTTCATTTCACAGAGCCTCAGTTTCAGTATCTTTACTATTTCCTTATCTATTACTATTTCCTTATCTTTACTATTAGGGACTGGAGGAAGATATCTCCTTGCTTAGAAAATTACATTTATTGCTTTATGATAAAACAGAAATTAACAATTCTGTTGATAACAATGCTAGTGACTTAGGACTATGAGACAAATATAACCCCACAAGAACTATCCCAACCAAAGGGTTAATGGTCAACATCTATTAAACACTTACTAAGTATCTGATGCTCGGCTAAGACTTTATATACATAACATTATTTAATAAAACAAATCTAAGCATTATTATTATCTCCATTTTATATATTATTGAAACCAAAATCCAGATTACATCAGCTCCACCTCCTGGGGACTGCAGGCACATGAGACTACATTTACTTCCACTTCTATTCCACCAAATGTTTCTGTTTTGTATAGATCAGGTTATATAGTAATAGACCAAGAGAGAGAAAATAGGTTCTTGCTCTGTAGGAGCTCACAATCCAATTTCATAGGAAAGGACACACAAACTGTTAAAGAAGAC